TATCTATCTCTTTCTATATATATATATATATATATATATATATATATATATATATATATATATATATATATACATGTATGTATATATGTCTACACTGTACATGTGAAAATACATAGATCTTCAGTCTAGAAATTGTAATCATACGTTATTTTAAATAAAAATCTAAATGCCTGGCCATATATCGCCTTACTACATTTCCATTGAGCCTATGTAACGTCACTGGTATGCCACAACCATTGAACGTGACGAAAACGCCTCTATACTCCAAAACATTCATTCGTAACATCTATTTTATATCAATTCCAACGCAGTAGTAACAAATGTATTCCCTGTCAACTTTGACAGGGTTTAATTTTTTGGGTTGTTGTATTGGGTGTGCTTGTGATCGACATATTTGATGTTTTTCTGTTACCTTGAAATAGGGGGAAGAGAATAAAAAAAATTCACAATCGTACTGAATGATACACGAGAAGAGGAACAACCAGCGGCGGAAATCGGTACACGTGGCTCCATTAAAAGGAAAGAACTTGGCTTACCTCACGGCTCGGGAAGCAGTAAGAGGAATTTATCACCCTTGGGATAATTGATATGTACTTTCTTTTTTGAATCTCTTTTCTTTCTTTTTCTAGTTTTCCTTCAACGTTATAAGAGTCAATGCCGTTCTTAAAAGAATGAAAATATAAAGAAATCGTCAAGCCGACCATTACTATGAGGTCCTGAGTTCGATCTTTACACTTGTACACAAAATTACCGTCTTTTAAACGTAAGCAATTTACCGTGCCCCACGCTTCTTATTGTCGTCAGATGGACAAGTATATATATATATATATATATATATATATATATATATATCTATCTATCTATATATCTCTATCTCTCTCTCTATATATATGCATTCTATCTATCTGAATATATATATATATATGCATTCTAGCTATCTATCTATATATATGATAAATTACTTGATTTAAAATACGTTTTTTCGCTACACAGTTCTAACCATGTTTCAAAAAAGGAAGCTAAAATCTTCGAATTTAATTTTGTAATTAAATTAAAGACATTAGTTCCATTTCATCCCCAAGCGAATTTTGAAGTAACTTATTTTTAAAATTACTGGATTTTAAAGGCACAGCAAAGATTAATATTCACGTTTCCAAGGATACAGAGAAATCCATTCATCTCGACAAGGGGTGGTTGCGTGTTCACTATCGCTGTATTTTGATGTATCCGTTATTAGTTACGTTTTGGTAGGGGTAGGGATGTATTTTTCAATGAATTCTGACATCCGTTAAATGCATGTCGTCTAGATTTTTTTTAAATTTATTGTTAACGGCAAAAATTCTTACGGCATTTTTTTCTATTTGTATACTTAAAAATTTTGGGGGAGGGTGTTTAGGTTAGAATACGTTTTATTTAACTACGATTTTAAAAATATTTTCACTTTTTATTTTTAATATACTATATTTCTTTTTAAAACAAGTAAATGCATTAGAATTACTTACAGTATGTAAAATTATTTACAAATCAAGTATAAGTATGTATATTACCAGGTCATAATTTTTTTTTAAATTTCTATTTAAATATTATTTAAGTAAAATTTATGACAATGACGGCAAAAATAGCTAATTAATTTCTCGGATTTAGTAAACGTTTATGTTTTATAAACCTAGTAATATATAGTTTCTCATGTAAGTACAAAGGACATGGGTCATTCAATGGCTTACATATTCTAGCTTTTCATATTAATTAACAGTGTAGCGGAAAAAACATATTTTAAATCAATTAATTTATAATATTAATGCTCTGTAAATTTACATTTAGCACTATTTTTAAAAAATAAAAATATATATCTTACTGTTCTTTCTTTCTTTTTTATATATATATATATATATATATATATATATATATAGGTACATAGCAAGACAGAGTGGGTTCTACAGCCTTGTACAACTCTGAATTCAAAACCTGCAGAGGGTCGTTTGGGGACCTTGTGGCACGTAGTGCACCAGGTCTCTGTAATCGGCCCTTCAGAAAGTTTGGATGATCCTGCACGAAACCTTCACCACTATAATGAAATCTGCAGTTGTCGAGCTGTCGATTTCCTTGGAACTGATCTGCTTGGCCCTCATACGTCGAATTCGACAGGAGAGTCAGTACATACACATACACACACACACACACACACACATATATATATATATATATATATATATATATATATATATATATATATATATATATATATATTATATATATATATTGTGTGTGTATTTAGGCACATCTTTTCATTCATACACGTTTCATTAAATAATATAGACAAGTGTTGTCTATTTATTTTATGTAAATTCTTGTTTATATTATTTAATGAAAGATGTATGAATGAAAAAATGCTGCCTAAATACACACAACATACATACATACATACATATATATATATATGTGTGTGTGTGTGTGTGTGTGTGTGTGTGTGTGTGTGTGTGTGTGTGTGTGTGTGTGTGTGTGTGTGCGTGTGTGTCCATAAAGTAATTGCGGTCTGAAATGTAAAAACAGCCAAAAAATACGCAAATAGTACGACACTCTCAAAATATGTATAGGAACACAGAAGCACAAATCAGAACACACAAAAAGTAACGTGAAAAGCAATAAAAAATAACAACTCAGAACTATCTGACCTTTGACTAGAAGATTAAATATCGATAATCCCAGACTATACGCTTAAAGAAATGATCAGATCTCATTTCCAAATGTAGAGACGAAAACAAATTCCTACTAAGCCACCTATAAACCACTTTACAAGTCAAAAACTAAGTAAAAGTCTATAATCTCCATCAGGTAAACTTTATTTTATAAACCCAAATTTATAACCGTTTCAAATATTGAAATCTAATAAATAAATAAAATACATAAATACATAAAATAATAAAATTGAAATAATAAATAATTAAGTAATAAATAATAAAATAATAACTAATAATAAATAATATAAATGATCAGACCTCATTTCCTAATGGAGACACGAAAAGAAATTCCTCCTAAGCTACCTATAAACCACTTCACCACTCAGATATTAAGTCAATGACCATAACCTTCATCACGTAAATTTTATTTTATAAACTAAAATATAGAAAATTATCTAAATAAATAAAATAATAAAATTGAAATGATAAATAAAGAAATTAAGCAAGCTAAAGATCATGACTAGAAATAAACCTAAAGTATATGAAAGGAAAGAACCGTGAACGCCTGGTTTCCTACATGCACCACATTCATTAGTCATTCAGGGGATATATATCTAGAGCGCGTTACATGGTCTGAAGATCGATTAAGGCGGGAAACTGCCAGCCTGCATACAATGTTAATACCTATGATATACACTATCTCTAGGATTGCTCTATGGCCTATATTGACGCTCTTTTCTGATCAATACAGCAAATTTTAAACCACCAACACAAGAAACACGCACTCCCCAATATATATATATATATATAGATAGATAGATAGATAGATAGATAGATAGATAAAAGTGAACATTGAAGTCAACACTCAGGGCGACAGGCTGTTTCATGTTAGACGGCCTGACGATTGCGTCCAGCATGAAACGGCCTGTCGCCTCTGAGTGTTGACTTCAATGTTCACTTTTATATTTATATTTGCATACGCTGTATCTCTGATATTGTGCACTTTATCCCATAAATATAGCACACCTTAAAACTATATTTCTTCGTATATATATATATATATATATATATATATATATATGATGGACTCTGCCGTCGGTTTCGACGTATGAGGTTCCGACAACCTTGTTTATTAATCCTGTGTGTGAGTCGCAAATGACATTTCAGTCCTGCTAGTGATTTGCAAAGAAGTCCACAGATTGTGCAAGAGTGTGGATTCTTGGAGTATATGGCTGGAAGAGCAGCAGATATTTTATTCGTTTCCCTATTTTGACGAAGCTTGACAATGTTTGATGCCGCCTTGTTCTTGATGCCATTGTAGCATGTAGTCTTCCATTCATTACGATCAATTACGATGTTCTCAAAGGTAGTGTGATTTATATTCGCAGCCAACAGGTTACTTTTCAGCTTGTCCCTGTACCTAAGCAAAGTCCGACCCACGTTTCAATGACCATTGTCAAGTTGACCATACATGATCATTTTGGGGAATTCTGTTGTCTTGCATACGTAACACATGACCTGTCCAGCGTAATATATATATATATATTTATATATATATATAAATGAACGTTGAAGTCAACACTTAGTGTCGACAACCTGTTTCATGCTAGACTTCTAGCATGAAACAGACTGTCGCCTCTAAGTGTTGACTTTATGTTCACTTTTGTATTTACACACGCTCTGTCTCTGATATTGAACACTTTAACCCATAAATATAACACAACTTAGAGTACACACACACACACACACACACACACACATATATATATATGTGTGTGTGTGTGTGTGTGTGTGTGTGTGTGTGTGTGTGTGTGTGTGTGTGAAAAAAGTGTATATAAATATAAATAAATATAAGTATGTATAATTATTTATATATTATATGCGGGTACTTATTAGTTTGTCTGACGATCGCTAAAGCGTGAAACCCAGGGTCACAAAATCACATCATCTATATATATATATATATATATATATATATATATATATATATATATATATATATATATATATATAGTCATCCACAGACAGACTGTTTCATTGTATCACAGCTCATTAGTGTGTCTTGACTGCTTCAAACCTAGACCGAAACTCGACCGATTTGACATCAGTCGGAGACTCTCACCCTCTCAGAAACAAAATCGTCTGCATTATAAAATGAATTGTTAAGAAAAATTTAGCAATTGGAGCAGAAAAAAATTTACTAATTTTTGTTCCCGGTCAGGCAAGTGTTACATCAGCTTGGTAATTTATGTCTTAGTGTCAATTGTTGCTAAAAAAATTTCTTTATAATGCCAACGATTTTGTTTCTGAATGGTGTCCGCT